TATTATTTTTATACAGGTTATGTTGTTGTTATTATATCGATATAAAACATTTTCAAAATATTTATAAAAAGTACTACAGTCTTGACAGTCCTTGGCTGGATAAGAAACCAGGTTCATTTCGATTACGTACTACCGACTGTTGTGGGAACTTTTTTAGGTCTTTCCTTTCAAGAAATTTTTCTGCTTTTTAGTAATATACCCAAAATAATTCTGAACAGTCATATCGAGTTGGCAAAGCTTGGCTGGATAAAAATCCAGAGCAGCTCCGGTTACTAGTTGTTTAAGGCTCTGACTGGAACTTTCCATTGCTAAGCAACGTTTTTTTAACTAAAGCTGACTTTGAAGCTCACAATAAAGTAATTAATCACTTAATGGGGTCTGTAAAACATCCATAGGCTGCAAATCATCCGCATAACCATCAAAGTTGGATAGAGGATGAGTCCATCAGGCCACGACCATACCAATCTAATGGTCTTAGTAAATAGATCCCAGATCTTAAGCAGAAGAAGCATTTTAATACCGAAGATTAATCTTAATTTAAATGTGTATATGTCATAATAAATTTAGATTTGGAGCTTTACACCTTTCGACCTTAGTCGAGCTGGAGTTGAAAAGTTGTCTTGCTCGGAGCTGAAAAACCAAAGAAAAAACATAGATCGAAGGCAGATCCTAAACCAGCAAAACCACCAGTTTATCAGAAACGCTTTTTAGATCGGGCTTTCGGAGGGATTACACGTTATAGTTATTCTTATATTCCGGTCACGAATATGGGATAATCTGCGATTGCCGAGCTATAGGCAACTGACCGAGTCACAACTTGCGGATAGTAAGAGAAAGGCCCTTAGTTATAAGGATTGGCTGCGAGTAACCAAGTAAACAGTTCTGGACAGCGTTCAGCGGATAGAGGGGGAGAGTCTCCGAGATGTTTTGCGTGTATATGGTTGGCGATACAGTCTTTTATACTTAATTTTACTTGTATACTTTGAGAAATTATAGAAATTTTATGTATTATTGGTTTATACATAACTGATTAACATGACAAAAAGATGCTTGGTCGACCCTTTTTTTCAACTTGTGGTGTACATCCAGATGGTGTTGAACAAATGGAAAAGCCTGTATATTTTAACAAAACTTCGAACTTTACCACAGTTGTGAGCGCTTTCTGAAGACTTAGCGAAATTAGGAAAAATCTGTACAAAATTAAGAAATGTAAGAAGGAATGTGAAACAGACTGGTCAGCGAACATCCAAATTTAAGTAAGTCAACGTCCTTATGGAATTCATTTAAAGACCAGACAGACTGAATGGAAACTCTGTGGTGATGAAAGTACTTTTATAAGGGATTTTTAATAAGTAAATGCGTACTATTACCTTTATTTTAGAATTTGCGAGACGATACCAGCTCAACTACGAGAAGGAACTTTTTGAGCTGAAGTTGAAGAAAAAATCAAATTAAATTCGGGTCATATTCTTGGATGAGTAAATCAAGTGGGTTAAATATATTTAGGAATAGTTGTAAGAAATGTCAATTGACTTGAATAAAACAAGTAGGTTAAATTTTCTTGCGAAAAGTTTTAGAAAATGGCAATTTTTTACCACAGAACCCATTTCTAGCGATGACATTGACTAAAAACAAAACCTCTCCAATCCGGAACCACCATTCTGCCCAAAAAAATTGGCATTATTTCGGGAAAGCATTCCGCATTTCTCTCAAATCTGACTCTTTGTTGAAGCTGCGTCTAGACCCCTTCATTACACGAAACATTCTTTTCTTATACATAGTATATCTATTGTACTTCTGCCTTCCCATCTTTCTTCGTTGTTGGCCATATGCTCGGCAACGCTGTGAGTTGGTCTAATGTGGTGTATGGGAAGGTTTTCATGCACATGCAACAAGTTAAAGAAGAATGATTATCCAACTTGCGAGAGCTGATATTTTGTATAGGGAAAGACGTTCGCATCTAGTAAAATTTTGAAGGCTTTTTTATTTAAAATGTATACCCATCAGATTCTTTTATTTTTCTTAACAGGTTCGGCGGCAAGAGATTTGCCAAGAAAGAAGAGTAGACTCTATAATTTTACAATAAAATTGAAAACTCGTAGAACTTCAGTAGCTATCTGGATCGTCCCATATTAAAGATCAAACAAAAAAAACGTTAATTTTGGCTGCAGCGAAGCTATGTATAGTACCCTTCACAGATACATTTCTTATAGCGTATTAAAGGTTTAAATAGATTTTTATCACGCTTATCATCGGAAAGTTTATATGGCAGTAATATGCTATAGTGATCAGATCTTAACAATTTGCTCGGAGATTGTAGCATTGTCTTGGACAATAATTCACGCCAAATTTCGTGAAGATATGTAACTTGTCAAATAAAGAGTTTTTTTCATTCTATTTGTATGGTTGCTATATTCTATAGTGGTTCCGATAAATGAGCTGATTCTTGGGGAGAAAAGGACGTGTACAAAATTTCAGATCGATATCTCAAAAATTAAGAGATTAGTTCTCGTATATACAGATAGAGAGACAGACGGACATTGCTTAATCGACTCAATTCGCCACGCTGATCATTTATATACATATGTATGTATGTAGATACTTTACAGGGTCTCTGACGCTACCTTTTGGGTGTTATAAACTTCCTGGCAAACTTAATATACTCTGTTCAGAGTATAAAAATCTAATTTTAGTTTCTTAAAACTAGTTTTTGCGTAGTTTGGGTAGTGAACTCGAAGACAGCTCTTCTGCTGGAAATCTCACTATACGCATGCGTGATTTTAAACACGAACACATTTGTAATTAATACCAAATTAAATACATATATATTCTTTATATATTATATATAAAGAAACAAGCGCAAAATTTTAAACAAACATACAGACGAACCAACAAACTAAAATACATTCAAGGCAAACAAAGTCTTCATATACTCAATCATCTAGCATGAAGAAATAGTCGAAGTAAATATCTGCGATCGAAGGTCTGAAGTTAGAATGGCACTTAAGCGGAGCATACTCGTAAGCAGGGCGGTGCACGCATTTCCCAACAAAACACACACACACACTTACAAAGTGAACTGTAAGAATATCAGTAAGCGTGCATGACCCTGATTACCAGAAAGTCTAAAGTGAGCGAGACTAACTTTTGCGACTATCGCCGTATGGTGGGGACGCGTAAGCCAAGAACAACACCAAATGCGCTGCTAAAGCAACAAAACAGCGCGCCAACGTGGCAAAGTTGGAGTACACCAAATCTTAAGTGAACGAAAAATCAAGATTTAATACTAAAAATAAACTTAAAAGTTTTCTATATATTAAAATTAAATTTCCGTCTTCGTGTGTAGCTTCACGTGCGTCCGAAATCGCTTCAGCCATTTGCCAACTGTGGGTGTAGAGATTCGTGATCAGCGATGCCATGCAATTGTCTGCGACTCGCAGCGCCATGCACATAACACCCAATGAGCTATAAACGCGCCTGGCTGCCTCTACAATTGCATGTGCACGTACGTACGTATGTATGTGTGTGCGTGTATATGGGTGTGAGCATTCATATTTATCTCGGCAAATATGCCAAGTGATGTGGCGTGGCACCAAAGTATATAATTGCTGCTACCGCCTGACGCTGAGCAAGTTGACGACGACGACAACAACGCCATGTTGCCCAAATAGCCGCCGACATAGATGATGATGTACCGAAACTCGTATATATGAATGTATGTATGTATGAAGGTACATACGTTTATTCCTTTACTACACTTTTGAGCAGCACTCTTTGTTGTTATTGTTGTAGTGCATATTGTTGCAGTGTCGATGAGTCCAATGACGGTCAATAAACTCGCTCGCTGTTGCTGTAAACCGGGCTGTGAGCTTCACTCGTGGAATTGATGGAACTTAATTGGCTGTAAATGTGTGGGTTGCGCTCAATTGAAATTAGTGACGTGTAGGAAAAATTAAAAAAATTACTGAATGAATTTATATATTATATATTATTATTTAATAAAACTAATTCAGATTTATGGTATATGGTACATACTTATGTACATATATATACTAATATACTAAGCCTAAGGTAAAATAATAATAATATATCATAAGAAATAAGATAGTTTATGTTTTTGAGGTCTTATTTTTTGGAATCAAGTAAAAACTTGTAAAAACTATCTTATACGATTTAAGGTTTGACTTTGACCTCGAATATCTTTTAAGCGAGTCGACTTAATAAAAAATCACGTTGGACCTTTTTTGTACATCAATATATTCCCTGCAACAATAAGTTTTCATTTTTACAATACAATAATTGGCTCAAATGCATTAAATGTCCAAAGAAAATAAGAAAAAATGTCTGTGTCATTAATATTGGAAAACAAAAATCACGATGCGTCAACAGTTAAAATTAATATCAAGAGCTCAACCTTTACCAAATTATTTTTTTACCCAATTTCTGACGACATTTTTATGGGATCTAAGAAAAAAAATTTTTTTTTGCCCAGCTTAATTATATACATTTATAAATATATTTCTTATAAATGATCTTTAAAGGTATGACAGCGTCAAATCTTTTCTGACGTCAATCAGATCTGCGTAGCCGAAATGGATCATGAATTATAGCCTACGACTAGTATAAAAACCGTTCTCGGGACCGTCGGGTCTACGTAACCGAAAAGGACTCGAATTTATAACCGTCCAAGCACTGTCGACTAGAACTTACAACCTATAAAAGGAATTCTTGTTTTCTCTAAAATCGTTCCAATCTAAAGTAAGAGGCTCTTTCCCATGATCGTTCTATTAATTATTACCCATAATTCAGATTGTTTATATCGTTTTTATTACTACTTATAACATATCTTACTTAGAAAAAATTAAAAAGCTCTACAAATTATGAATTAAAGCACTGGAAGGAAGAGCAGCTTTGATTTTAAGCTTTTTCTTACTTTCTCATAAAACTTGTTTTTTCTTTCATATAAACTGAACTCCACTTGATTTGGCTTGATTTTTTCGGTATCATCTAATCTCAATTAGACCAAATTCAAAATATATTGCTGAGAAATATTAAATACAGTTCATAAGTACTTCAAAAATATGTTTTCTCCTGACTTTTGAATAATAAAGTGATTAAATTAGGCGAGACAGTACATCATATTGAATGCCCCATCTATTTACAAATAACTTAGTAGAGCCACTGCCGTTCTTAGAAATTTATTAGGCATGATTTGCAATTCTTAACATAAAGTTCCGTAGAACCAAGCTTAAACCGCCGAATCTAATTGGATTGTAGACAAAACCATAACGCATTGGGTTACTTATTTAAATTCCAGATGCGACTCGCTTCAAAATGCAAGAAAAGTGATAAAGAGCTGTATATCAGCTCGGCAAGTTATTTCTACGCTATAAATACGTTTTTCGCATTCAAAAAAGAGAACAAAAAACGAAAGTGAAAATATAAGAATTTATGAATTTTTAAGTTAACTGTTAGAAAATAATGTGGAGCTTCTTAAAATTTACTGACGATATACTTTTCAATTTGCTATGGTTTTTCCTGCAGGATATGCATTATTGTTTAATTTGTATGACAAATGCATTGAATTGTTTACTTAATATTCATTAGAAAGGTTTAAAACGAATAAATAGCATTTGAGTAGCCTAGATAATAGAAGCATATTTCATACGCCGTTCTTTGAACAACAAATCTATAACAATATTAAATCTTAAATTATGTGAGTAAATCAAATATGTGCTTGTATTTTTTTTTACCGATTACAAAAAAAATTTCTAGATCGTGGAAACTGCGGGCTGTCTGATAAAGTTGATAACTGCTTACTCTGTTGCAAAAGAATCTTTGTTTATTGTTCGACCTGATCTTCTGTTACTACCTTTTGGAAAAATTTTCATATTAAGCGATCAATGTAGTGCCCTAATAGTTTAAAGTACCAATAGAATTGCTGACGGATTTGTAGCAAAAGGTTTAACTTTTTCTGTCCAATGACCAACATGATCGGAATATTTATTATACTATATTTAGCTTCGTTGAAGATCTGAGCCCATTAATCACGGAGTTGCAATTGAGTAATTAATTGTTGTTGTAGCGAGTGCCAAACCCCTGTTTGGAGGAAAGTCAAGTCAATCTACCTAACTGCGTTCAGCAACCATATTTTGGCTGCGTAACTAATGAACGACAACAACGTTTCTTTCTCCTTACCCCAGTTGGAAAGCGAACCAAGGATCTTGTTGCGGCTCTGTACTTTGGTAATTATAGCGGTCGTATGCGGAGTGAAGGTGTACAAAATATTAACCGCAACTCCCAAGATTTAGAGATAGTTCGCTGTCGTGATTTTAACGTCATCGACAAAAATGTTCAGATCTAGTCTGCATTCTTTCGCCCAGTTGGTGAATAGGATGGCTTTGGATTTAGTAGGCGAGAGTTTTAAACTCCTTGCGGTGAAGAAGCGTTCACTTCTAACCCTGTTTGAATCAAAGAATGCGATCGTCAGAATGCAAACTGCATGGGAACATTTAAGAGCCATCTGGACGAAGTTAAATTTTATAGCCAAATTAAATGTTTAAAAGGACTAAAAACATAATTTTTAGTGGCATCCAGATCCATTAATAATTGTTATATAAATTCTTCAAAATTTTGTTTATATTAAATTTTTTAAAGTAAAAGAAACTAACAACCATACGTTTTGTATTTGACACTTCTATCTTTGACGTAATCGTCTGTTTGTTTACTTTACAGGAGTAACATCCCTGTCAGTGCTCTGTGGTGTACGTGCTTTGTAATAATTACATGAATATTTAATTGCTATAGTAAATAATATTTGGTTATATACAAGTATGTAGGTTTGCAAATGTATGTACATACATATGTATATAAATTATTAAGCTGATAAGCCAAAATCAATGCGTGATCAACATGTCCAACAACACCCATATTATCAAATTTACAAACACCAGAGGAGCTGACGAGTGCGAAATACAAATTAGTGTAAGCAAGTAATAAAAAAATAAAAATTGTAAAATTCAAGCAAACGCGTGTTAGATTCTAGGTCAGACAAAATATAAAATAATCAAACAACAATAAATGTAACAATTGTATGAAAATTGCGCCGCTAAAATTTCAGTGCGTTTGTTATGTTTAATTTTATTGAAGCGGCAAACGTGCCGTGTAAAACGTCGTCCGAACATAAAACCTTTCCGAAAATATTTTTTTTTTCAATATATTTACTTATTCTTTACAAATGACTTAAGTATTATGTGAGGAATGATTAAGAAAAATAAAAAGCAACAAGTGAATTGTTGTTATACCGGCTACAAGCGTTTGGGAGCAGCAGAACAAAGCAATGTAGAAATACAAAAAGCAACAAAAAAGCAAGTTGTTGTTATACCGGCTCCAACTGTCCGGAAGCAGCATTACATTATAGGCACAAACTGCCCTCAATAATAGCAGAAGCAGAGTTCAGAAAAAAAACGGGAATGAAAACAAAACAAGTAGCAAGCAAATAAAAGCATATAGCAAATATAATAATGAAAACAGAAACAAAGATATGCAACGGAAAGTACATACATACATATGTATGCATCAACAAAACAAGCGGAACGTGCTTTCATATCAGTAACTGTGCTTACACATCCATTTAGCTGAGTGATAGACAATTGTTTACCACAAAACATAAGTCGGAAAGCTAACTCCGAAAAAACGAATATAATTATTTTTTTTTATAGTTCATACCTTTCGAATTTGTAAGCATGCGATTCGTGGGCCATTGAGCTGTAAGCAGACGGGCTACGTGCTTGGTTTGGAGGTCAACTAGTGGGTAATAATAAGTCGCAGTGCCGACGCTTATCACTAGCATGTCAGCAATATTTTGTGTTTAGAATGAACTTATAAATAGCTAATAGTAAAATCCTCGTTTATATTCTTGTTTTTAATTGTTTAGCGAAAATATGGTATGTTTTGATATGCAGATGAGATTATAAGAGCTAAATAAAAAAAATTTTAATTAAACTAACATATGTGGATTGTGATCATGTATACTTCTATGATCTAAACATCGCGCACATGCACAAAACATGGATGCACATACCATTAAAAAAGAGCTCTGGCAATTCATTCCCACAACAGCTGGTTCTACGTTACCGGAATTGAACCGGATTTTATCCGACCAAGGGCTGTTATTTCGGCGATCTAATCTCGTTTGGATTGGTAAGTTTTAGTTTATGAAGTTAAGTTGCTCCGCATCCTTCTGATACGAGCTGGCATTGAGTCTAACCCGGGCCCTGAGGAATTTTTCTGCTGCGTATGCGCCAAGAGGCTTCATTCAAACTCCACCTCTGTTAGGTGCAACACATGTGATGGATGGAGCCACAGGGAGTGGATCACGAGTTATGTTTCCCCATGCTACCAACGCACTATTGCCTCAACGGTCGTGCAAATTGCCCATGTCCACGCACAGCGCCACCACTCCATACGTCGGAACGTCATATCACTCAAGTGCAATACTTGTACTAGCTGGTGTCACTGTGGTCCAAGAAACCAAGTTAAAAAGCCGCTCAAATCTTCTGCGTAGTGCAGGTTTCAACATTATACGTAAGGATCGCGAGCGAGATAATGAGGGAAGTCTAGCCTTCTTACTGCACAATACTGTGCCATATCGTCTTATTGACGACGACATGGTCTGCAGCGATACTGTCCTTGAATGTCAGGGAATTGCCATCCAACCAGGGGATGTCGAGCTAGAGATGTTTAATATATGTATTCATCCCCTCTGTTATATGTTGCCCAACAGCTTACAACCCGAATATAAGTGGTGAAAACTGTTTGGTAAGTGGCGACTTTAACGCGGACCACGATCTTTGACACTCCTGCCTGTCAAACGATTGTAGAGAGATGGAGTTGGTGAAACAGATAGACGATTCGACATTCGGCATGTAAACCAACATAAGCGGACAAAATTGGTAGAGCGTTAGAAGTTTTGTAACATCTCCACCGGTGTGAGTAAACTTTGGTCCACTGTCAAGGCATTGTCAAATCTGAAGAGGCATGACGACGAGATTGAAATCGAATTCGATGGCAATGCCTCCTTGGACCCGAAGAAGTGCGAGAGCTACTTAGCCGGCAATTTATATTGCACCCTTTAACTGATAAGACCAAACTATGTGTTACTCGCGGCTGCGCAAAATGCCAAAAGCCACTTTCTTTTACCGATGAGAAGGTTCGGAGTATCATCAACAAGGCAAAATCATCCAAATCCATTGGCCCTGATGGAATCAACATGCAGATGCTAAAGCATCTAGACTCGAAGGGAGTAAATTTGTTAACCTAAGGACCTGTCGCTGACAGCACCCCCACAGCACTTAGCGTCAAATAGTTCATGACCTAACCCAGAAGCCACCCCGTGAGAAGACGATCCTAGTAGCGCTAGACTTGTCAAAAGCTCTTGATCAAGCACACAACGCTAGTTGAGGCTATCGAACCATCCACGCTCCCTCCATGGTTTAAGCGGTCGACAATCATTCGTACTGTTTCGAGGTCAAAAATCTGAACTAAGAAGGGTTACGCAAGTTGGTGTCCTCTCCCCTTTACTATTTAATTTCTACATAGCAAAACTCTCCCAATCACCAGAGAGAATTACCATCACCTCGTACTACCTGACTACGTTGACGACATTGAACAATACGCCGACCAGTCTTCGGACACAACAATCTTCAGACATGTACTGACCGCCATTCACAGTGGAGCCATCAACAACTTTACCGACTCCCTCTCAGTGAATGGCAACTCATTGCAGGCGAAGAGCTCGAGTTGCCACGAGAATCTAGAGTGATCCTTGCGCAATTTCATTCTGGGTACTGTAGCAAGTTAAACTCCTACATATACAGAATCAACCCTAACGTTTCTAATTTATGTCCTGCATTCAACGATTCGCCGCATGACTCTAATCACCACTTTTCATGCCGTATGAGGTCAAGTCATCTTACATTTTTTTGCCTATGCTACTGTACCCTTTCTCCCATTCAAAGAGTATCTGGTTAACCGTTAAAGTACCAACAAAAGCTCCAGGGAAAGGAAAAAATTAAAAGAGATCGTCGGTACTTCCCCCAAGTTGGCTATTTTATATTCAAATATTTCAAATAAATTAATGTTTTATTAAATGCGTACGTTTTAAGTTAATTATTAATTACATTTTCTCTTTCTGGCAACACTAACACTATTGTTATCACCTGCTAAAACAGCTGTTTATTTGTTTATGAATCAAAAAGTTATTTTGAAGTAAATTTTCATATTGAAATATTTGTATTTAGAAATTTTCGTATATAACATTTGTTGTTTTTTTTTTAAATTGGTAGTTTGCTAAAAAAATATGTTTTAAAAATGGATTTTTCTCTGGATGCAAGCACAGATGAAGATTTTTTCGGATCGCTGAAACGGTAAGTTAATTCAATACTACGGTCAAAAATTACCCTTACTTTGTTTTAGGCAAAACACAAATTTGGAAAACCTTTTTGGACTCGAAGCACAGCACAAAGTTGGTAAAGAAGAGCAAGAATCGCTCAAGTACCAACCTGTAAAGCAGACATCAGCTAATTTGAATGAGAAAAAAGTCAACTCAAGTCCTAGCACAATGGTGCAAGCTTGGCAAACTATTTTAGCAAAGGTAGCGCAAGCTTATAAAGAAGACGTTAGTATCGGAAAAGTAGGTGTGGCATTATTGAAAAGTGTTGAAAATGAGTACAGAATTATCATCTACAAGGCCAAGTTGAATGTTCTTACCACATGCTCGTTGCGAAATGAAACGATACAAATTCATCGCCACAATAATTATTTACAGTTCTATGATAATGATTTATGCTGCTGGAGTGTTTATTTTGACGCCAGTGTTAACACCGAAGAATTTGTAGCGAAATTGATTGAACTAAATATAAAAATAGGCGAAGAAGTTAATAAAGAAAGAAAGGAGTTTATTTCAGAAATGGATACAGAAGTATCTAATAAAGAAGATGTACTCACAAATAACCAAATATTTTTAAAGAGCATAGAAAAGCCGCCAATTGCGCCTGCGAAGCCGACAAAGACAACGCTAATAACACGCATGGCCAAAATGGGTCAGCAATTACCGAAAATGGAGCTTCCTTCACATGTGCAAAGCAGTGCCGAAGTCACTGACTCGTCAGATACGGAGACCATAAGCACACCAATAACAACGCCACGTCACATACAGAATTCAACACCACGTAGCAGTAACAGAGCGCTGTCTACGGCGCAAGCATTACCAGTTGGCCAAATCAATCCTTATGTTATTTCCAATACGAATTCCAGTTTCGAAACACAGTTCATGCAAATGATGCTGTCCGAAAATCGTACGCAAGGCTCGGAGCTGCGTATGAATATTAGCAGGTTGGAGGGTAAAGTTGAAAAGGTACTTGACAAAATCGATTTAATGCAGGCTAGTTCCAGTCACAAACTTAATAAAGAAGATGAAATATTAACACTGGAGGAAAAAGTGTTGGAACTTAAGAAAGAGAACAGAAACCTACGACAAATAATTGAAGGGAAAAACCAAAGTGCGCCAATTTGTCAACAAATTTTGCGTACGTACAGTGCCGAATTGGAGCAAGTAAACCTGGCTAATGTCGATAGTCTAGAAGAGCTGGTGGGTGATCTACTCAAACAACGCGCTACGCTGAACGAACAATTTGAAGAGCGGGAAAAAGAACTAACAGAGAAAAATTTGCAATTGAAAACGCATCAAATTCGCTTAAATGATGATCAAGATATGTTAGCAAATACAATTGCGAGTAAACACCAACTCGAGGAGGAGCTCAAAATCACGCAACAGCGACTGGTGGAGTGTGAAAATAGTGAAAGCGATTTGCGGCAACAACTGACCAAAAGCAATAATGAAATCCTTGCACAACAACAGTTGGTCGAGGAGTGTAAGCAAAGGGAAACAGTTGCCAACAACACGCTGCTTGAATTGCAAACGCAAAATGCAGATTTGCAAAAGAAATTAGAAGAAAAAGAAAAATTGGAGTTGGAGAGTCAGCGCCTCAATATCGCTTTACGCCATGACAATGAACTAAGTGTTGAACAACAAATCGAAACAGTATTAAAAAAGACAATGAACAATTTATATGCGAGCTTAGCGGCAAAACTAGAGACTATTGTGCCAATGCAAAAGCATGCGGTTATAGCGGTAGTTGGCAAAACTATACGCGAGGAAACGCTCAGAGCAATGGACGAGTTGGAAGAATAGCTTTTGTTAACTTATATTTTGTGTGTTCAACAGATTTGTAAATTAATTGTGAATGGTATGAATTAATAAAGTATAAACATATATTATATGAAGGGATGTGAAATGATTCAAATATAGATTTCTAACCTTTAAAAATGCTCAGTGCACATATTGTGATTCTTCAAAGACTTGCTTCTCCAAAACCCAGAGTTCTACCGCATAAAAACTAAAAAAATATTTTTTGTGGCTTTATTGTTTTGTATATACGTATATGTGTTCTGTTTTCGGTCATTTATATGAACAACTCATTGATTAACTATAGTATAAACTGAATGTTCCCTTTTCCTGCTTCCTCATAAGTATTTACACGTTAAGGCTTTACAGAAATTCAACAAGCAATGATATTCATGTGTAGTATGCTGTTGTGTAATGAAATTAATCTATTATGATTTTCACTGAGAAATATAATTTAACTAATCATATACATATTTATTTATTCATAGTATACATACATATGTATGAGCATTATTCGTATACAATCCACTTTCAAGTTAAAAAAAGTTAACTAGTCATATTTTTAAATAAGCTTCCATGTAATATTTATCTATTACAAGTAGTGGGCAGTGGTAGCTCTATTAGCTAAATGTAAGTATGGTTACAGCGTGTATGAGTTTATGCTTAAATTAGCATAGTAATACATATGTAAAATTCACTTTTAAAATTATTAAATAGAATTAAACTTTAAAAACTATAAAGGTAAGCTAGTATGTACTTTATATGTATTTGTAAGCCGCTGGCACCACTTATACCAGCTAATACAACTCATTGCAATCGCACTTTAAACACAACCTTTTTTAATCGGAGCTTGTTTCGTCCTCTTCACTGCTGGAAGGTCGTGCTGAAGCTCGATGTCTTTTGCGCTTCACACGCGTTTTTTTAGGACGCATAGCTTGTGATTCGGCTTTGCGCTTGTATTTTCCTTGTTTCTTTTTCTTGCGGCCATACTCATCATCACTGCTTGTCGGTGACTCTTCATTATCACTTGAATCCGACTCAGTTTCTGACTCTTCGGTGCTGGAATCTGAACTGCTGCTAGTATCACTGCTGTCACTAGACGATGAGGTTTCTTTGTGTTTTTTATGCTTCTTACTTTTTCCGCTCCTCTTGCTCTTTTTACGTCTCTTTGAGGAAGTTGACTTTTTAGACTTCTTTGATTTAGATTTTTTGTGTTTTTTCTCATTTTTTGCTTTAAGCAGTTCAGCTTCCTTTTCTTTTAATTCCTTCATACGAAGTTCCGTCAATGGGGTGAGATAATCAAGTTCAGAATCCGAGCTAGTACTTGAAACGTCAAGTACAATTTCTTTATTTGGATCAACCTAAAAATGTACTTACATTATTTTGAAATTATAAAAAATTTATTTTTAAATAAATAATACTTTCAAAAAGTTGCGGCATTGATAAGTCAGATGTCCTGCATAGCCACATTTTTTGCAGGCCGCACGTATAGTCTCTTTATTGGGATTAGTAAGTGGGAAGCTCATTTTGTTTCGGTGGTCACTTGTTATTAATTGTTCCAATTGCTACTGTATTGCTTTAGAGTCGGGAAGTTTATGTTGCGGCTTAAAAACTTAATATTTTGACAATTTTCCGCTTAACCTTAATTTACTTGCCAGGTAAACAACAAATTTTCGCACCGCACAATAAAAAAAAAGAAAACAAAGTCATGAGTAAGATCAATCGGTTTTGTATTAATAGTAATCGTTGCAGCGTAACAACTCTGGCTTTAATAGATAACAGATAAAAAAACATTTTAAATCTTTATTTCCGCTATTTTTTTTCTTTGTGGGTGGATCACATAATAACCTCCATCAACAAATATACTTATTACTTTTTGTAAATAGCTTATTTTATGTTGAAAGTAATAAATAGGAATAGTATCGATAAGTTCTTTTTAAATTTATCGGTTTGTTCTTGTGGTTTTAGTTTCATTTTGCAACACTAACATTTACCTTACGGGTGACAGCGCACAACAAACGTCATCAAATTTTGCAGTGAAAGAAAAGTGTATTGCTGTAAAATTGCTAAGATTTCTCTAATTCTAATTAAAGTGATCACTCTAAAATTATATTAAACTATTGAAAAGTGTATTTGAGAACAAATGTTACGATACGTGGCAGCCAGTTGAACAAAAACATTATTTTTCTTAAAGTTTTGGTATAGTTTCACACCTACACCCTACTCTAACAGATTGACACAACGTAAGCGCACAAACAACTACACGCAGCAAATCGTGAACAAAGCAAAATCATTGATATATCTAAACTTTTGCAGTATTCTTTCTTACAATTTTACAAAGCCGCAGCGCTGTGAATGATTTCTTCCGCCTCGCCGGTTGGTCTGTTTGGAAGCGCTTACAACAGCCGAAGTAGCAGCAGTAGTAGTAACAGCACTATGCAGCAACAATCTAGCGCCTCCGGCAGCAGCCCCTTTGCCGCATATTCCTCTTCATCTACAAGTCCGCAGATGGGATTAGATGTTGAGTTTGGTGCAGACCCAGCGAGTGGTGCGTTCTTTCAATCGGAAGGACGCAAACATGACGATCTTAAACAAATGCTGGATAGCAACAAAGATGGACTTAAGCTAGAAGCTATGAAACGTATTATCGGCATGATAGCGCGTGGACGTGATGCAAGTGATTTATTTCCGGCTGTAGTGAAAAATGTTGTTTCCAAAAATATTGAAGTGAAAAAACTCGTATATGTTTATCTAGTACGTTATGCCGAGGAGCAACAAGATTTAGCACTGCTGTCTATATCAACATTCCAACGTGCATTAAAAGATCCAAACCAGTTAATACGCGCATCCGCTTTACGTGTGTTATCGTCAATACGCGTAAGCATGATTGTACCCATTGTTATGTTAGCAATACGTGACAGTGCTATGGATATGAGTCCATATGTACGTAAGACCGCCGCACATGCTATACCCAAGTTATATTCGTTGGATGCAGAACAGAAAGAAGAATTAGTAACAGTTATTGAAAAGTTACTTTCAGATCGCACAACACTTGTCGTTGGTTCTGCTGTGATGGCTTTCGACGAGGTGAGAAATATTTTGAATAATCAATATCATTTATTTTTTGTTAAAAATGTTAATTATAATTTACGAGTTTCAAAAAGTTAATTTTATATTATTATTCTTTTTATTACTTACATTTTTTGTTATTTGTATTTTTTATTTAATGAAACGGAATGGAAAATATATTTTTCTATGCGTAAGCATTTTTTTCATACTTTATTGTAATACACCCTGTGTTTTCGTGCTAGGTTTGTCCGGAACGTGTTGACCTCATACACAAAAACTATCGCAAACTATGTAATCTGCTCGTCGATGTTGATGAGTGGGGTCAGGTGATCATAATCAATATGCTCACACGTTATGCACGCACTCAATTCGTCGATCCGAATGCAGATGAAGCCGCCGAGGACGAGCTGAAACAGAAAGAGGGTGGTAGCGAAAATTTCTATGAAGAATCTTCTAGTAGCGATTCCTCTGATGTGAGTAGTAAGGAAAAGCATGAGAAAAACACACAAAAACGGAAGTCCGATACATCAAAGCAACGGACTTACCCATCATCTTCATCGTATCATGTAGATTTGGATCACCGTCTACTCTTGCGTCAAACCAAACCGCTACTACAATCGCGTAATGCTTCGGTTGTTATGGCTGTAGCGCAATTGTATCACCATGTAGCGCCACGCAACGAAGTACAACTAATTGCGAAAGCGTTAATACGCTTGCTACGCTCACATAAAGAGGTGCAGAGTGTTGTGTTGACTTGCATTGCCTCCATGTCGACAAAGCGCAAAGCGATTTTTGAGCCACACATCAAATCGTTCTTTGTGCGCACCAGTGATCCAACGCACATTAAGCTACTTAAATTGGATATACTGACCAATTTGGCATCGGCTTCGACGATTGCGCTGATTTTGCGCGAATTCCAAACATACATTTCCAGTAATGACCGTTCATTTGTAGCGGCCACAATACAAGCGATTGGACGCTGTGCCGCATCCATAAAAGAAGTAACGGAAACCTGTCTCAGTGGTTTGGTGCATTTGCTGTCCAACCGGGATGGTGAGTGTGCATACTGTGTTAAAAAAACAACAAATAATTCAATTAAATTTTATTATTTATGTAGAACACGTCGTGGCAGAGAGTGTGGTTGTTATAAAGAACCTGCTGCAGTCCAAATCTGCGGAGCACTACGAAATTATCTCGCAGATGGCAAAATTGATTGATTACATCACTATACCGGCAGCACGCGCCTCAATATTATGGCTCATTGGCGAATATAACGAAAAAGTGCCGAAAATCGCACCCGACGTGCTGCGCAAAATAGCCAAAACTTTTGTGGATGAAGTGCGTGAATATAAGATGCAAAATATAAACTTATACAAATTTTTTCTCTTGCAGGAGGATGTTGTTAAACTGCAAATTCTCAATCTCGGTGTAAAACTGTTTCTCACCAACCCGGAGCAAACGTCGCTACTCAGCCAATATATTTTCACTTTGGCGCGTTACGATGCCAATTACGATGTGCGCGATCGCGCACGTTTCCTACGCCAATTTATTTTCCCAGCCAATGGCCGTACTACCGTACTCTCCGATAATGCGCGTAAGATTTTTCTCTCCTCGAAACCCAAGCCAGCGCTGGAGAGTAAATACTGTGAACGTGATCACTTCCAACTTGGTTCGCTCTCACACTATTTGAATATGCGCGCCACTGGCTATAAAGATCTGCCAGTATTTCCCACTGAAGCGCCTGATACTTCGGTGCGCAATATTGAGGGTTACATGCTGGAGGGTGGCGCCGGCGCTGCAAACGCCACTGGCAACGCTGCAAGTGGCAGCAGCACACGTACGCCACAGAAGCAGAGCAACAAAAATGCACATACAAGTAATGATAAGAGTTTCTTCTCCGAATCAGAGAAATCTTCCGCCTACTCAGAGTCCGGATCGAGTAGCAGCAGCTCCTCGTCGGCAACGTCGAGTGATGGCGAATCATCCGAATCGGAAACGGAGCATGTGAATGACGTGGCTGCTGTTAAAA